TAAATTTTCCTGGCCCTGATAGTAGTGGGGGGGGGAGACCATGCATTTTAGTGTGACTTTCAAATATTGATAATCAATTGCCATTGAGAAAAACTCAGACAAAAAATGATTTTTTTGTTCCCAATGCTTCAAAGGAAAAAAAATCTATAGCTATCAATTTTGCAAATTTTAAAACCTTACTCCTGAAATATAGAAGATAAAATCAGAAGGTTGAATGAAATCAATTAAATCAAGTTGATGTTTGTAGTTGGTGGTTATTGCAGTTTTAGCTGCCATCAATCCAATGGATATTGAGGATGGCTTAGAAAACTGACAATTTATCAATCACTTCATTGATTTTATGATTAACTATAAAACCTGATTGAAATAAACTTTTATTGATTATTTTATTATTACCTTTTTGTATTGATAGTTATCTAGCTGCTGCTACTGCTGCTGCTCCTTCTTTATGTGCCCTCAGGAAGTAGGCAATTGTGGCTCTCTACAATTTCCTGTTTTTGTAGCTCTTAATAAATTTTGTCTTTTTGTTATTTCTCCTAAACCATGTTCTGTCATCCATTTACTCAAGCTCACTAAGTAGTGATTTTCCAAGTGTAGCTTAGATGTGGCACAAGGCTGAAATAAGGGGCACCCAGTGAGGATCAAACTCACTACTCAGTCATAATTGTTTTAGCGCTCACCAAGTATGTTATACTTTGTTTTCCTCTGTCCCTCTTGCCTTCAACCTGTCCTGTGAGTATCAGATTCTCCAAGTCCTCCTTTCTCATTATGTACCCTAGAAATTTCAACTCACACTTCCTGGTGTTAAGTATAAGTTTCTTTTTTGTTTCCGTTCTCTCTAAAACTTTGTCATTTGTCACATGTTTGGCCCATGGTATCCCCACCATCCTTCTGTAGAACCACATTTTCTCTTGCTTCAAGTCTCTTCAACTTTGAGGAGATTGTCCAACATTCACTACCATACAGGAGGACAGATATTATGTTCAGTACTCTTTTCTTTGTTTCTAACAAAGTTTTTTTGTTTCTTAATGCTCTGCTTAGCTTTTGAAATGCATCTTTGGCTATCCCAATGTGCCTTTTGATTTCAGTGTTGCATGTTCTGTCCCTTGTTAAAACACTTCTCAGATATTTTAATTTTTATGCTTGTTTGATACTGGTATCTCTGATTTGCACTTCACACTCATCCTTTTGTTAATAACCATGCATTCTGTCTTCTTGCAATTGATACTTAGTCCTTTCTTCTTGCTTTCCTTCATTATCCTCTGTCGGAGTTCTTATAGTTTCCTTTCCATATCTGCCATCAACACTGTCTCATTTGCATATCTTATATTGTTAAGACTGTGACCATCTGTGATGAATCCTGCAGGACTTCTAATTCTCTCAGAATCACCTTGATGGATAGGTTGAACAAGTCCAGTGAAAGGACACGTCCTTGTCATACACTCCTTTCTATTTTGTATATCTGCTGCTCATTTTCTATCTGTATGCAGGCAGTTTGCTGCTAGTATAGATTTTAGGTTATTCTAATATCCATCCCAAATATGTCAAGGGTTGCAGTTCCAACAGATCTTTGTGGCATACTTTATCAAACACCTTTACGTAAGCTATAAAAGACAGGTACACGTCCTTCTGCATTTATACTGCTCTTTCTGATAACATTATGAGCATAAATATCACGTTTCTTGTTCCCATGTCTTTGACAATTATGCACTGTTTCTGCTCTATTTCTGGTCTGATTCTGCTGCACACTGTATTCATTAGAATTCAGAAGTTTCATTATAAAGCTCATTAGGCTGATTGTTCGATGGAGTTCACATTCATTTGCACCTGGCTTCTTTAGGCAGTGCTATGAAAATAAATTTTCTTAGGTCTTCCAGTATATCATCACTGTTGTAGTTTTTGTTTATTATTTCTGTAATCTTGTCTGTTCAGAAATCATCTAAGGTTGCCAGTATCTCTATTACAATTCTGGAACTTGGATAAATGTTGCAATGTAAAACTGCATTCCTGAATCTTTTTTTGATAGTTATTTAGCCAATCTGATTTTTTGTTTCTCCTCCTGGGCTTCTCCATGTCTGTTTATCTTGCATGTTGTTGAAACCAGGTGTTCGTTACTACCTGGTCATTCACCGTACACCATTGGACCGATTTTTCTCGGCATTCATTACGTGTTCCTATTCCAAATTTATCAACTATTTAACCATTCCTTTCATTGCCTACTTTAGCATTCAGGTCTCCCATTTTCATAGATTGTCTTGTGTGAAATGAGAAGGGTTTGTCTTCTGTAAAAAAATCATCATTTGAATTTTTGTTTTTTAACTAGACTTAAATGCCAACCTCTGTCACTGGCAGAAAATACAAAGTATTTTCATGGCAACTGTTCTGACAAGCTACTTTTGCTGGTTCCTAGACTACATGAATTTAAGTGAGCTACCGCTTTTCTCGCATTTCCCATCTGTGGAATTCCCTTCCCCTTACTTACTTCCCCAATGACTACAATCGTCAAATATTCAAGTGTGATGTCAATTGTCATCTGACACCCTGAACTTGTTCCCCATCCTTTTCTGTATCTTTTCCTCAAACATGCCTCTTTACTCTTGTTCTCAATCCTCTGTAACCCCTTGCATGCTAGTGGTACTCCCACCTTGCTTGGGGTGAATTGCTTTTTCAAAAAAAAAAAAAAAAATTTATTTTATATATTTTTTCATCAAGTTTGTTTTTAACAATTTACATAGAACTGGAATCAGAGAGCTGAGTTTCAATTCCAGTTGAATCCATTACATTCACTTATGTGCTAATACCCTTGGGAAAGGTATGAATCCTCTTTTTCTCCCCTCAGCTATGTGTAAATAGCAGGACACACCAGTTTCTATAGCTTTGGATGGCAACTGGTCTACCACTGAAAGAAATGGCAACATACTGCGGGGGAAAAAAGTCTGCCTTGTCGGTCATGTATCGAAAGATACACGATCACTTAAGTGTGTATCACGCATGGCACATAACTGACGTGTGTGTATGTGTATATATATATTTCTTATTATTAGAAAAATCATTTTTAGTGTGTACACATGTTTGAGTTGCTACTACTTTTTAGTTTCTTAAACAGGGAAGAGGCACGGTGGAGTAGTGGATAGTGGCTTGAGGAATCGGAGAGCCAAGTTCGAATTCCAGTTGAATCCATTACATTTAATTACATGCTAATACCCATGGGAAAGGTATGAATGCTCTTCTTCTCCCCTGCTATGGGAAAATAGCAGGATAGACTGGTTTCTATAGCCTTGGATGGCAACTGGTCTACTGTATGAAAGAAATGGCAACCTACTGCCAAATCTGCCTCGTCAGTCATGTATTGAAAGATACATGATTGCTTAAGCGTGTATCACACATGGTATATAACTGACTGATATGGAACTGACTGCTGCATTGACTTCATACTAATGCATGAAACCATCTCTTCTTTCCCTAATCTGAGCTAAAATAGAGCAGACATTGCTCTGGTTTTGGTAGAGCAAACTTTTAAAACACAAGATAACTGATTTATGTAACTACAAGGGACGTGAGAAATACCTCCCAAATAATGGTAAGACATTAGTGGCAATGGTGTTTTCATCTAGCTAATGTCTCACTATTATGTGGGAGGTATCTCTGTTACACCCTGGATTAAAATATTTGTTTCCTTTTAGAAAGTATAAAATGCTAGAGTTCAAAAAAATCTTCTCATCTTGTAACACACAACAACCATTAACAACCTGAATATTAAGCAATTCTTAAATTCTCTCTTTTGTTTTTATGTCTTTCTTTAAATTTATGCTATAATTGACTGATTTCTGTTTTTTTGGTGTATTTATCCTTGTAGTACAATGAAAATGGAAGATTATATTGAAACTTTTGGACAATATTGCTAAAAGGCCCCTAACTTTGCAACTTGTAATCATAATCATGTGGTATTCGCATTCACACTCACCTGGATAATCAAGGTGATAATGAGCAAAGTTCTCAAAGGAGATAACTCTCGGTATTCATAATGCTAGTTACAGGGTAATTTCCCTTATTTGCTTGCAAATAATTTTCCTCCTTGTATTTTTCTTATAAAACAATAAAAAAAAAAAAAAAAACATTATAACAAGATTTTTTTTTTTTTTACAAAAGTTGAAAAGAAAACTTTATCAACATGGAAAGATTAAAAAAAAGAAAATACTACTGCAGCCTGAAATAATGACAGCTTTATTTAATTATATATATATATGTGTGTGTGTGTGTGTATGTGATAAAAATAGTTTTCACTTATGCTATATTTATGGATAAAAGTGTTCATTATCAGAGATAATGTGTGTGAATATTGAGGTCAACACCAAGTGGCAACAATCTGTTTCATGCTTGAATGGAACCTTTGGGTCATATATATATATATATATATATATATATATATACACACACACACACACACACAGGTTCTAGTCGTCTGAAGATCATGAGTGCATGAAACTTGTGTAACGAGCTGTCATTTGTTAAGAGCTGAAGTTGTGAAGCTTTTTTTTTTGCTCTGGCAAGTTGTCTGTTGATCATACCAACATCATTGGTGTTTCTTTAGTGTGTGCGTGATATGTATATATATATATATAATTTTCTTTTTACAAAATTATATTACTTATTATATCAAGCAAAAATTATTAAAGTTTTTTTTTTCATATCATCAGAATTTCCTCAAAATCATATCAAAATCAATATTACTTTTAATATGTTCATTTTTAAAATTAAAAAATCCAATTTTACTAAATAGTAATAATATATTTTCAAAAATAGTTTGATACCTGCAGATAATGAATGAGTAGAAGTACAAGTAAAGTTAACTTTGAATTTTATCTGAAGTTGGAGTTTGGCTAATAACAAGAGTAATTCTCTTTATTGTTTAATAATTTATTTGCAAACAATTATAATATAAATAGAAAATGACTTGACAGTGATCTTAAGGGTTGCCAAAATTAGGCACAAAGTGATTTTCAGTTAAAACAGCAATTATTTGCTTTCAGCTTTTGGACTCCCTTCTGGTTTCTCTGCCTTTTCACATATATTCCTGTGACCTTTTTTCCAGGCAAATCTTTGACACTGAGTAGAGCAATACCATGCCTTTTTGCATCGCCCACATGTTGAGAAATTCTTTCCTTCTGGTGCTTTCTTCTTGCAATTTGTACAGATATTGGCATCACTTCCTTCAAATTCACATTTTTTTGACAGTTGCACCAAAAATGGAATGACCGGTATAGCCAAGCTCGTCTGAGTTTTTGCTGCATGGATGTATCTATGTAAGTGATATTAACCTCTTCTCCTTTTCGGATCTTTCGATTTGCCATGACCCAAATACCAGGTCTTCCAAGTACCTCACCATCTAGTATATCAGCATTGTTGTTACATGAGTGATTAGTGCAGGCATGTAGTGGAAAAAGACTAGCGAGAGAAGCATGCTGAGGTTTGTTATTTAGTTTTTGTATCATCTGCATAACATGGATATCCATCTCGACATCCTGCAGGTTGGCCAGGAATGTGTGATAGGGTGTTGTGTAAGGACCAAATGCTTGCAGGTTACATGTGGCCTGGTTGTAACGGCCCTCAAAATCTGTTTGTTTGATTTCAAATTTGATTTTGTAATTGCTGAAAACCTTTTGAATCAGACTGTAGAAGAGTGGGTTTTTCTGAACAGCCTTTGAAGTGCCGAAGGCTACAAACCTTTAAATAAAAAAAAGAGAGAAAAATATAACATTAAAAGTCTGGGAATAGAAAACTGTTGTCAGTAGTGTTATACTTTGCTTCAAATTACATTGCTTTCTGATTCACTCCACATCAAAACTTGTTGGCCAAATGTAAATGCTAAGAAGGCAAAATAAAATGTTACTCTCTCTACAGGGGCTCTGAGCATCATATACAGTTTACAAAAGAAATCCCCTTCCCCCAAAATATAATGCAAAAGGAACCAATCATGAAAGTTGTCACAAATGCAAAACTGCGTCATGTCAGAAAATGTTCCACCCCCATCTACTTTTAAGAATGTTGCTCATGACACTGTTGCAGAGTCAGAGACAATGAACAAGCCATCTGCGTCACCACAAGTGATCTCAGCCAACTGACACAAGAAACCCATAAATTTGTGCAATAACTAAAAACTCTGGGGGTGCACTTCAAATTTTAAAAAAAGTGAAGTACACAAGGGTTTTTAGGCATACTTTTTGTTAGCAGCAGCTAGTGTATCTGATGACAATGTTATACTTTGCTTCAAATTAGATTGCTTTCTGGTTCACTCCACATCAAAACTTGTTGGCCAGATGTGAACACTATGAAAGCAAAATTAAAATAAAAGTCGTCACTCTCTGTAAAGCTCACTAAATAAATTCCCCCTTCCCCCAAAAGATAAAATACAATTTAAAAGGAGTTAATTATAAGCAAAACCACTGTGTCATGTATCCACACTGACTGCTTAAAAGGATGCTACTTGCGACACACAATGTCAATCACAAGCAGAATAATAAGCCAGCATGGCAAATAGCCATAGAAAACACCAGTGACTTCAGTCAGCCAAGCCCTACTAACTCCACCTATCCTCCAGGTTGCTTCCCTCACCCACAAAGAGACATTCTATCTTGATCCTCTATATTGGCAATACAAAGAATTTTATTTTAACAATTCTTGTCTTCTTTTCCTAGCTTATGGCCATATCATGTTAAACCACCAGTTCTTGTACAAACGCTGCAAGCCTAGATAAGTGACAGCTTGGGAATAACAGGTGTTGTAAGCATGGATGTGCAGGTGGTGTAATGGATAATAGCTCTGAATTGTTAATCAAAGAGACGAGTTCCAATCAGTTTGCTTATATTCATTTAGGCACAACTACCCTAAGGAAACCTACACATCCACCTCTTCTACTCCTAGTTATGTGTTAATTAGTAGGAATTATGTTACTAAATCATTATTATCTCAAAAAAATTCTTACACTATGAAAATATTTTCTGGCTTTAAATAACCTGCAAAAGGTTGATAAGCCATAAAAAACAAATTTATTATTGTGCTGGTATACATGGTTTCTAACATTAAGAACTTTTAGCAATGGAATGTTTTTGAGCAAGAACATGTTGCGTAAAACCTTGATTTAAATAATTAATTGGAGGATGTTTCTTAAATCTGATAATTCCCTCATTTACCACATTTAATGAAAAATGCATTATCAAATCTAGGATAGCCAAAGATGCATTCCAAAAGCTAGCAGAGTATTAAGAAACAGAAAACTTTGTTAGAAACAAAGAAAAGAGCACTGAATTGCTACATATTGTCTGTCCTCTTATATGGCATTGAATGCTGGACAATCTCCACAAAGATGAAGAGATTTGAAGCAAGAGAAATATTGTTCTACAGAAGGGTGTTAAGGATACCATGAACTGAATATGTGAGCAACAACAAAGTTTTAGAGAAGATGAAACAAAAAGGAAACTTATACTTAACATCAAGAAGAGATGGTTGAAATTTATAGAGCACATAATGAGGAAAGAGAGCTTGGAAAATATGATACTCACAGGACAGATTGAAAGCGAGAAAGACAGAGGAAAACAAAACATAACCTACTTAGCGAGCTTGAGTAAATGGATGGCAGAACAGGGTTTAGGAGAAAAACAAAAAAACATAACCTACAAAAGGATGGGAAATTGAGAGAGCCATAACTTATGTAGCTTGACTACAAAGGATGGAAATGGCATGAACAGGGTTTAGGAGGAAATAACAAAAAAGAATAATAATAATTATTAAGCACTACAAAGGATAGGAAATTGTAGAGAGCCATAATCGCTTATGTCTTGAGGGGACACAGCAAATAAAGAATAATAATAATTATTAAGCACTACAAAGGATAGGAAATTGTAGAGAGCCATGATCGCTTACCCAAATAAATGGGACACAGGGACACAAAAAAAAGAATAATAATAATTATTAAGCACTACAAAGGATAGGAAATTGTAGAGAGCCATGATCGCTTATGTCTTGAGGGGACACCAAATAAAAGAATAATACAAAGGATAGGAAAAGCCACTATTTCTTGGGGAAAGGAATAATAAAATTAAGCACTACAAGGATAGGAAAGAGAGCCATCTTATGTCTTGAGGGGACACAGCAAATAAAGAATAATAATAATTATTAAGCACTACAAAGGATAGGAAATTGTAGAGAGCCATGATCGCTTATGTCTTGAGGGGACACAGCAAATAAAGAATAATAATAATTATTAAGCACTACAAAGGATAGGAAATTGTAGAGAGAGATGTCTTGAGCAAATAATGACTACAAAGGATAGAAATTATGTGCCATGATCGCTAATTGAGGGACACAGCAAATAAAAATAAAAGAATAATAATAATTATTAAGCACTACAAAGGATAGGAAATTGTAGAGAGCCATGATCGCTTATGTCTTGAGGGGACACAGCAAATAAAGAATAATAATAATTATTAAGCACTACAAAGGATAGGAAATTGTAGAGAGCCATGATCGCTTATGTCTTGAGGGGACACAGCAAATAAAGAATAATAATAATTATTAAGCACTACAAAGGATAGGAAATTGTAGAGAGCCATGATCGCTTATGTCTTGAGGGCACACAGCAAATAAAGAAAATAATAATTAATAACAAAAGGATATTAACACACAACAAAGAAATACAAAGGATAGGAAATTGTAGAGAGCCATGATCCTTATGTCTTGAGGGGACACAGCAAATAAAAAGAATAATAATAATTATTAAGCACTACAAAGGATAGGAAATTGTAGAGAGCCATGATCGCTTATGTCTTGAGGGCACACAGCAAATAAAGAATAATAATAATTATCCAAGACAATATGCAAGTGATCAATCCACTCAACCAAAGGTCACTGAGAGCAGTTGTTTACAAGAAACAAGTAATCTTGTTTACACATTAAACAACTCAAAACATTTCTCACTCACATGCACATTCTGTCACTAAACAGGCTTTGTTATTTATGGTGAAAACTTTAAAAATAGCTGAAATCAGCAAGCGTTCTCACTTCCAGCAAACATTCTAGATAACAAGGTTGACATAAACTTAGTAAGAAAATTGGTTTACTGTGTTGTATCTATTTTCCTCGGCAGACTCCATCTTGCATGTTTATAAATCTACCATTCGTCCGTGCATTGAATATTGCTGCCACATCCGGTCTTGTGTTCCTGGTAGATATCTCTAGATTCTTGTCAAAATCTAAAGGTGGGTCTGTAATGTTATCAGTCCTGACCTTTGCATCATGACTTCAGTTACTTTCCCACTGTTATAACTTGGCTTCCTTGTGTCTTTTTTATAAATAATTTTCATGGCCATTGTTTTAATAAGTGTCCCTCCTTGATACCATGGCTACATGAAGTGAAGCCTACCACTCGATTGTCAACTAGATTTCATCATTTTAATGTTGAAATATGTAAATTAGATTTAACCATAAGTTCTATTCTAATAGTTTCTTTTTGCAAATTTCTCACTTTTGATTTCTTGCTTCTCTGCAACTTAAAAACTTCAAAAATATATTTATTATCATCTACTTGCCTGAATATTTGAGAAATCTTATTAAAGAAAAATATTTGAAGATCATATTTCTAAATATACTGTTTAATAGTGTCCACTTAAAATATGTGTATCAGCTAAAAATAATGTTTAAAAAATTTGTCAGATTAATCAAAAAAATATTACTTAAGAAAATATTATATATGCACTTATATATATATATATATATATATTATATATGCGCACTTACATTGTGGCTGTCTTTATATTCATAGTGGATGTTGTTGACAGTTGTTTTATATAAGGGCTTTAATTATTTTTAGACTATTTTTCCAGTTGGAGATGCATATCAAATTTGTTTTTGACAAATACGTTGCATATCCAAGTTGGTAAAATTCCATGATTGTTTAAATGGGCCTTTATGAATTTCTGATCTGAGAGATATAGGGTTAGCTTAATTGATGAGAAAATGGCAATATGTCTGGAAATTCCAAATTGGGCATTTAAATTCATAATTTTTGGTCTTATATAGTTTGGATTTGCAGCCCTGAAAGTTGTTGTTGCTGATGATAGGTTGTTTTTAAATTTTTTTTGTATATATATATATATATATATATATATATATATATATATATATATATAATAGTAAAAAAAAAAAAATGAATTTACCAATTTTAAAAAAAAGCCTCATAAATTTATAAAATTAATTTTCAAAAACACCAATGTCCTTAATTTTTGAACAAAATCTTCTAAATGAAAAATGTTTATTCAGCCTTCTTTTTCTATAACTTTGTTTTTTTTCTCTTTCATAAAACAAAATTCTCCAACTGAAATACTATTTATTGTATGTATATTCCAAATTTGTCAGAAGCTGGGTTTTGTCCCTTAGAAATTTCTTTTTAAAGAAGTGTTATGGAGTGGTTTCACAGTGGAGGCTTGTATTCGGTCCTAAAATAGGTTCAACGTACAAAACATTAGGAACTTGATATAATAGATAATGATGCAGAGTAATCTAGTTGCGGTTGCTGGTACTTTAGTATCCAACTAATGGTCGTCTGGCATCAACTGACTGACCGACCCACTGAGCGACACCCTGTGGGGGAGTCTATTAACTATAAGTGTGTTCCACTATAACAAGAAGACACATGGCATAATTTTATTAAATCAAAAGGGTAGATAATTACCTTCTGTAGGGTGCCATAGAGATTGCCCAGTGCAGTTGTGTAGGTTCCGTCAGGTTTTCTTCTTCCATCATTTTCTGGGCATGGCTCAAGATTGAGGCATAAATTCGGGGCAGAATCATGGGGCTAAAATGGCCACCCCAGAATTCCTCTTGCATTCGTGTCTCTGGATTAATAGCCATGCCATCTCCATCTCGAACATCATAAAGCAAACTAAATAAATAAAAGAGAGTTTGATAAAACAGTTGTAATATCATATGCAAATGAGATAGACAAGTATAAATAGAGAACAACTGGTGAACATAGGGGCATTGCTTAGCAAACCCGTTTACCAAATGTAATGCAGAGAACTGTGCTATGACTGCCACTACACGGAGATATACCAAACATAGCACTCCAATTTTTGGAATTCAGATTAGCTTTTCCCATAGACTGACTGACATTTAAGGCCAGAAAACATAACAACAGTTATCGACTGTATTGTTTATTTACATAACCTCACTCAAAAGGCACTAAAAACAACATAGCTGAATTGTTTTGGTTCTGACGTGTCCATGAAAAATAAATAAATAAATAAAAATTAATTATAGTGTCAAAAATAATTATAATAATTATAATAATTATCATTAATTCATTCATTCCAAACCAATGAGAATCAACCACACTTTTCTCCCTTATACACACGCACATGATATTCTCACTATCAGATAAGCAGTTCATGCAGACAGGTCATTAACACATGCATCAATGAAAATTTCATCTCCTTTTCCTTTTCAGGCCATATTAGTAACATTTATCATTTAGCACACAACAAAAATTTGAGGTAAGAAAATCCTAGACACTTGTCTTTTCTAACTTAATTATCTGGACACTCATCTACACACATCTGTAAAAAAGAAAAAAAAATGTGAGAAAGACTGTATACACTTTGCTTATTCTTTATCTTATCTTTCTCTCAGATTCCAATCCATATTTAATTTACATTTGACCCTAAACTCAATTTTACTTAGTATTACAATCTCCATATCTCCAACACCAACTAAGCAACCAGATAATAAGCAATACTCATTTTTTTGTTTCCATGTCTTGCTGTTTCTTATTTTTATGAGAATTTTATATATATATATATATATATATATATATATGTATATATATGTTATGAGGTCTATAATTATTTATTCAGAGTTAAAATTCCCTTACAGTTCCAATTGTGTTGAGATAAAAAAAAGAAAGGCAAACTGATTGTTTTTTTTTTTATCTGAAATTGATTTGGACTAGGTTCCTTATCTGCAGTGGTTTCATTACATTTCAACTATTGTACATTTATAGAAAACTCCAATCAAAATCTAGCAAATTTTCATCAGCCAAATATAAGCTAACAAAGAAAGATAACTCTCAGTCTTGCACTTTTTTTTTTTTTTTTTTTTTTTTGAAGCCGAGTTATGTCAGCACTTGTGTATAAATCAATAATTTTTTTGTCCTTAACCAAATCTCTTGAAATACCATTCAACTAATGATTTTTCATTAATTTATTTCCAGGAATTTTTAATTAGTCAATAAATGTTCTTTTCTGCTAATATATATATATATATATATATATATATATATATAAGGGCTATATATGAACAGAATTAAAACACTTAAAAATACTGTAAACTTTTACACACACATAAATATTATAGATACATCTTTAAAAAAATAAAAATGGAGAAAAATGTTGATTTAGTCATTATTAATTTTTGACTTTTTTTTTTTTTTTTTTTTTTTTCGTAACATGTTTTTTATCACAAAGTTCTCAGTCAAATCACGACCCAACTGTTAAACTAAGTAGTTTCTCATGAAACCTGAATTTGTATCTTATATCTTAGATCCTCAACTTTTATGATTAACACCTTAACCAATTCAGCCACAGAATTTCATAACTCGGCAGTTTACGAATCTACAAACTACCTGAATTTCTGGGATGAGAAATTATTATCTACATCCCCTGTAAGCCAAACATAGAAAGAAATACCATATAGGAGCCTTTTCCTTTTTTTTTTTTTTTTTTAAAAAAAAAAAAATGTGAGATGTGACAGTAAGGCTTTAGCAGCAGCATTAGTAAGAAAAGAGAAGCAGTGGCAAAGAAGATCAAGCATGAAAGCAGCAAGCAGGCTAAAATAGTATTGTTTATGATTCATGTTCTATGCTCAGGATTGTCCTACAGCACAGAGCAAAGTGATGATCTGTGAATTTGGTGATTATGAGCTCAGTCCATGGAATGAGTAGTATAGGCTCAGGTGAAACAGGGCAAGAAATAACTGAGCAGTACCAGAAAGAACAAGATATCCCTCAACATACAATGAATGGAATAATAATAATCTATCCCTATAGATTCAATAGTGGATTCAGTTCAATATTTGTGAAGATTATGTAGATCAACAGATACTGGCCACAGAGCACAGAAGGTGAAAACATTGTGATGACAACAAAAAAAGACGAAGGCATAAGTCCAAATATAAATAATAGAAGAGATTTTTAGAACATAGTTCAAATTCAAGTTTTAACAAAGTATCCTATTTTCTTCTATTTTAAGGAGTTTTATAGCAATTTTAATGGTCAAAGAGTCTTCAGCTGAGAATATTGTGGCAATAATTTGAAGAAAACTCATCAAAAATTAATATTGAAAATTGCTGGGACTTCAAAAATACACAAATAATATATTTTCAAATTTCCTCTGCAACTACAATTACATCATGTCTTAAAATAGATGCATAAAAGCAGACTTGGTGTCGCCTCTTGTGGACATAACAATAAGCATAAAATGTGGCTTTCTCAACCAATGGAAATGCAGCAAAAAATACTAAATTTCTGTTATCGTTTGGAGCCTATCTCAAAGTTATATAAGAACCAACAAAAAGCCACTCATGGAGTACCCACAGCAAGCACATGGTGTATTCACTTACACCATTCTGAAAATGCACTCTCTTTCAGGCATTCACACCATACAGAGAGATTGACCCAAGCAAAGCAAAATATATGCCCAAACATCCAACTCTGTTGACCACTGAAAAAGAAACTTCTTACATGAGTTACTTCTATGCATAAATACACAATATATATATATATATATATATATATATATATATATATATATATTATAAATTAATTGATTTAAAATGTTTTTTTTTCCTACACAGTTCTAACCATGTTTCAAAAATGGAAGCTAAAAGCCACAAATTTAATTTTGCAATTAAATTAAAGACATTAGTTCCATTTCATCCTCAAGCGAATTTTGGAATAACTTTTAAAATTGGTTAGAACTGTGTGTGAAAAAAAACATTTTAAATCAATTAATTTATAATATTAATGCTCTGTAAATTTACATTGAGCACTATTTTGTAAAAATAAAATATCTATAAGAACACCGGATTATATATCTACTGTTCTTTCTTTTATTTATTTATTTATTATATATATATATATATATATATATATATATATATATATATATATATATATATGTTCACCTACTTATATTATGCACACTGTCACATATCTGTACATACAGACATTTGTTTAATGAAACTTAATTTCTCTAGACCCTTTAAGAACTCCCTTTAAGAAAACCTTTTCTCTTTCACTTAATTGTTACCATTGTTATTAAATTGTATTTAAATCTGTCTGACAATCTTGTTTTATTCTTTGTTTTGAGCATACAAAAAAATTGTTTGACCCTTTCTTTCTATGGTTTGCTAACAGCTGAAATATCAAGTTCCCCTTTCCTCTAAAGGTGATTAGCAATAAACGCATTCATCCAACTATTAAAAGAGAACCAGCAACAATCAACAGCAGCCCACACAAGAAAGTATTTGATATCAGAGTTCAAAAAGAGTTAAAATGAATGATTGTAATGATGAAGGTTTGTATTCTACCAGCATTTTCTCATCTCAAAATCCACAAATAAATTATTTCCAACTCTAGATAATTCTTAGTTCATTGACATACTGTTTTTACCTCCTTTGCAATGAGAACTCATCACCTCTACCAGTAAATTGTTTAAAGATAAGTAATCTCTTTATGGATGTGCATGTTGTTTGTTCTGAGGCTTGGAGAATTTGTCTCACAGGACGTATTGAAGGCAAGAAATATGGGTGGGGGACAGCAAATAACTTATTTGACAAGTTTGATTAAATGGATTGTAGCAGAACAATAACAAAAAGGAGTAGTAAGAGAGCAAGAGTTAGAGCAACATAAATAAGGCAGGAAGTTGTGGAGAGCCTTGATCCCTGAAAGAATATATGACTGATTTGTTTTCTATGGCTTATCAGTCCCTTGCAGGTTATTTAAAACCAGAAAATATTTTTAGATTGTAAGAATTTTAGAGGGGAGGTAATAATGGTTTAGTGATACAAGTCTTACTAATTAACCCATAGCTGGGGAAAAGAGGTAGAGTCAAACCTTTCCCAAGGGTATTTGTGCCTAAGTGAATCCAGCAGGAATTTGATCTTCGATCTTTGATTAACAATTCTGAGCCATTACTCATTAGACCACCCATGCTTACAACACCTGTTAATCCTAATTAGTTACCTATCTAGGTACTGACCAGGCTTGACATTGCTTAACTTTGGTGATAACACGGTAACTTGTGTTTTAATGTGATGTAGCCGTAAGCCCCAAATGATATATAAAAGACTAGCTTAAAAGCTACCCTATCAAGCAGCAATTAAGCTAGCTCCTGTGGAGGGCTCTTGATTGGGCCTTTGGCTTGTTCAGGAGTTTGAGAGTCCCTAAGTCTTTGCATATTCTCAGAATTGGAAGCTCTCCTGGTTTGTCATCTGATCTGTGTTTTCTTTGCTGCAGCCTTGACTCATTTGATTACAAGCTGATCGTCTGTTGGCAGAGATTTCTTTTTGTGAGGCATACTGTTGCTGCATGCGATAGGCAACAATAAACTACAGAACTCAAAATTTAAGAATTGCATTAATATTTAAGCTTACCTTCTAAAAGCTCAACAATAATTCTTCTGCTGCCACTTAATTTAAAGACAATTTGATGTACATAGGTCCTTACTTTCCATACAATTATTTTTATTTCATGGGTGACTTTCATAGGATTTCACAATTAATTTCAATTATTCCCAAATTTATTTCTAAGTTATAAAAATTATCGTACAAAAAATTAATCACAAAAAAAATCACTGAAAACAATTGCAATAATGAAAACTTGGTAATCCAAAATGTCAGAATTGCAAGTTCAGATCTGGCCCGGAATGTTCTTTAATTTGCTCACGGAGTCAGCCTGATTCCAAAATGGTATGATATATTGGGCTACAGCCTCTAGGAATAAAGTTGAAGAACTGTCACACAATGACACACATATTTATTTATATAGAAGATTACAAGAAAAAGATCATCTTAGTAGATGCATTATTATATTGGATATTTTCTAAGCTTAATCTAATATTCAATTATATTGCATCTTGTATATAAAAACAAAAACTGTTTATCATAAACAGTGGGTAGTGTATTGATTGGCAAGTGAAATTGCTGAGTCAAGTTAAAATTCCCACCTAGTCTATTGCAATTAGTTTCACACAAATATCCTTAAAAGGGACATAAATCCATCACTTCTCTTCTCAGCTGTGAGTTAAATATCAGTTAGGAACTGGGTTCTCTAACCTTGGATGGTAACTAATCTAAGAGTTCTGCTTTAAAATATAAAGAAGGCAACTGAAAACTACTTCATGTTTTGCAAGAAGTCATAGCAATTTCATGATGATAAAGAAAAAAACATTTCTGGTGATCTATATCCTGAAGAAACTTGGCATTCTAATCTAGTTTATCTATTGTGCTGTATGTTTTTCATGTGATCTGTGTTAAAGGCAAACAATTTACATATTGATCAATGTCATGTATAAGTAATTAATCTAATTACTGGAACCCCCAACTGCCATATGCAGCTCGTTTGCCTACTGTAACCCCCAACTGCCATACGCAGCTCGTTTGCCTACTGTAACCCCCAACTGCCATACGCAGCTCGTTTGCCTACTGTAACCCCCAACTGCCATACGCAGCTCGTTTGCCTACTGTAACCCCCAACTGCCATACGCAGCTCGTTTGCCTACTGTAACCTCCAACTGCCATACGCAGCTCGTTTGCCTACTGTTTGCCCCCCAACTGCCATACGCAGCTCGTTTGCCTACTGTAACCCCCAACTGCCATACGCAGCTCGTTTGCCTACTGTAACCCCCAACTGCCATCGCGGCAGCTCGTTTGCCTACTGTAACCCCCAACTGCCATACGCAGCTCGTTTGCCTATTAGAACCCCAACTGCCATACACAGCTCGTTTGCCTCCTGGAATTTCCACTTCTATGCACTGATAGCTTGTTTAACTATTGGAAATCCAACCTCTTATATTGAGAAGTTATTTACCTAAAGAATGAAATGAATCATAGATATTCCATTTGCAGACACGATTTTGCTTTTTTGAACATTGAACTATTAGTACAGGTAAGATAGATGACACACTCACCTGGCTGCAGGGTTATTACTTGGGCACAGCACACGATGATACCCTTCCCAAGCTTCTTGTTTGCATGCTTTACTGCAATAATTCTCTCGGAAACAATTTTCACAAGAAATGTTCATCCTCTTTGGCCAATAAGAATCTATCAGGTCTTTTAGGCTGTCATTCATGGTGTTCAGCTCGTCACCAAAATAGTGACGTGGTTCCATGAGAGAATAACCGCAGTTGTCACAGGTTGGATGTGCTGAGATGGTATCAGTGGCCTGTCCAATGACGAGTGGATTGTCTTTGAAAATAACACCGTTCTCCTCGATGTCATCTGTGGCGATGATACATTTGCCATACTGGGAGAAAACCACTTTTACCGGGAAGCCTGTGCAGAGAGGCTCATAGAGACGACGAACACGGATCTGCTGGAATGCAACGGCAGATTCTAAGTCTTCATTTTTGGATATTTGTGTGGCTTTTCGGAGCCAAAATTCAGCCAGAACAGGAAGATCCATTTTTTGTAGAATCATTCCTAGGGAAGGAAAAAGACAAAGTGAGTAATATTGCATGCCAAATTTGATGTTTGTCTCATTTTTCTTTGTATTAACCTTTAATATTATTCATGATTAACATGTGTTACTTTCCTTTTCAGTGTATTCTTTTCAAAACCCTCTAACCCAGTTAATGATTTCAGTTAAGGTCATTTTCTGTTACCATAGCAGGGTATAACAACACAAGTGTGGAAGTTAAATACTAATGTTTGGTAGTTTGAATGTATAGCAATTCAGAATAAGAAATTGGAGAGTAAAGTTGATTCGAGTTGAGTTCATTACATTCACTTATACTCAAATTACATTGGTAATGGTATGAATCCATCTTTTCTTTCCCCATCTATGGGTTAAATAGTAGGACAGACTGGGCTCTTTAAACAGTCTAGGAGAAGGACAACTCTGAATTCCCACCCTGGGGAGAGAACCATGCCTTACTTGGCTTATGTGAAAGACATCATGTTGGATGTGGTCAATGGCAGTTTCTAACAGATCAGATTTCTAGCATTTGAACTGCTATGATATCATGCAAAAAAGATTCTTCAAACTGGTTCTAATTATTCCAAGTCAGGTGGAAACTGAAGGAATACATAGAGTAGTGCTTTGTGTCTGTTAATATATACATAACTGAAACCCAATGTAGGCTATCGTAATGGAAGACCTCATGTAAGTAAAAAAAAAAAAAGAAAAATGTTCAGCAATCAGTCACCTGCAGTGGCAAGAGAACATTTTGCTCTGCAAACAAAGTCACCTGTAGAGGGCTATCTATGGGTTTAAATCAGGGCAGACTGGGTTCGCTAGCTGTGGTTAGCAATCAGTCAGTGGGAACAACTACTCTGAATTCAAAACTGTCTGTGGCTCTGGGACCAAATCACTGGTAATTCTTAGGGCAAGGTATAACACCTGGATTACAGTGAAGACATTGGCAGCAGGATGTTGAATCTGGTCAATGTCAGAAACTAAAAGATTAGATTTCTGGCAGTTAACTTTGATAGTGTCACGCAAAAAAGGTCCTTCATACTGAACAATAGATGAGACTTAACTATTCCAAATCAGATGGAAACCAGGGGAATACATAGTATTACCTAGTGTGTCTCTTAATGTATGTTTATCCTATTATGGTCTCTGAAGCATGCACTGAGTCTCACAAACCATAGACATTTTGATTCTTTCATGCTAAACATTCAATGATTATGAACATCCTCAGATACTAAACAAGTAGACATGCAAGGGTCTCACTGAAAGTAATACCTCTTATTTTATTGACCCTCCTCTGACCAATGTCAAAAGTGGATGTTTGTACCATAGCAGTTGAAGATGAACCTTTTCATTACAGATAAATGACGTCTGATATGAAAGTGCATATGAAACAGGTGTGTCACTGAATTCCTCCATGCAGAAAAAATTACACACATTTTCATTGAGACCAAACAATGGATGTGAGCACAGTGAGATGATGGGTAATGCATTTCAGCAATGGCAACAACAATGTATGTGACAAACCACATTCCACTGTACAGCTGTCATCCCACAAAATGAACAGAAGCTAAAAATATGTGAAGCCGGTGGTTGTGATCGTATGGAATATAATGTATTGTAGCTGAAAATTTGATCTACCCAATGATGTTTTTGTGCTCATTGTATCCATTGTAGTTATCATGGAAATAAATATGTGGCATTACTATTGGAGCTTAATCTGGCATTGTGTTATAACACTGACTAAGCTTATAATGATAAAACTTGCTAGGAAATGGTTGTGGGGACTTAGTATATTAACCATAGTTAATGTTGTAAGCTTCTTTACAAACTACTGCACTTCAACAGGCAACCACACTATATTTTATAGGAATGGGGCATTCTGGCATATCCCAATTGGCATTGCTGACTTGACATGGCTGATTCAGTGTAGAGGGACAATTAGATGTCAGATCACTACTTCATCGTTATAGTCAAATTTGTTCTCTCTCTCTCATTTAGTAGTCAAATTAGTACTTCATTGTTATATGCTTGAATAGTCTAATTTAAGAAAAGGAGAAGTTGGATGTATTTTTATATTATATTTTTTTCAATGTAGTTTCATGTTTTTCAGTTGTCAAACACCTTTTACTCCAAAATGGACGTGATGCATTTCTCAAAAAGTTGATCACTGGATATTCACCCACCAAAAAGCTAAAAAGAAATATATAGAGATGCTGATGAACAAATCAAAAAAAGTCATAATCGAAGTTGAATCATTAGATCCTATTGAGTTCCTGAAAGGTGTTGCTCATAATTACAAAATGAAGAAATTTTTCTCCCCGGAATTGATCCTCCAGATCTACAAATCAACAATTCGCCCTTGCATGGAGTATTGCTGCCATATATGGTCTGGAGCCCCTTCTGTTTGCCTCGGGGTTCTTGATAGGCTCCAGAGGCGGATATGCAATATAATTGGCCCTGATCTGGCATCTCGTCTACAGACACTTTCTCACAGACGCGCCGTTGCCTCTGTCTGTTTTACAAATACTTTCATGGCAATTGCTCCGAGGAGCTGCATTTGCTGGTTCCCAGACTTCATCAATTCAAGCGCACAACGAGGCTGGCATCCCGCTCTCACCCTTTCACTGTCGAAATTCGCACCTCTCGCCTGTGGAACTCCCTTCCCTATTCCAGTTTCTCTGAGAGCTATAATCTCCAGCTATTCAAATGTAATGTCAATCGACATCTCCAGTTGCCTTGATCTATCCACTACCCTTCTCCTCATCCTTTCTTCTATCACTCCTATAGGATCCTTAATTCCCTAAATGAATAAAAAGTCATACTGAAAGTTGGGTGTTTTCAATGCTTTTATCCTTTTGGGGAAGGTGGGGGTAGTTGCCTCCCGTCAAAGACGGTGATGTTGAAATAGTCTGACATCGAAACAGCTGTGCCAAATAGGCCAATTATTTTTCTGATGATGAATCAACGACACAAAATGTCAAAACATACCATACTATGCCAAAACATACTAAACTCATATTTTTACATGCAGAAAAAAGGTTTTAAACAGTATTTGTAAGCTATTGTTACTTACCACCCATTTTCCAGATTTCATGAGTTCTCATTGTCTTTGGTATAAGCCAGAGTTGCTGAAGAGCATCTAAATCCTTCTCCAATTCAAAGCAGAGCCTTGCTTTCATCAACTTGAAATTATGGTTTTTCTTATCCAATGCAATTGCCATTTCATAATGCTGCAATGCTTCCTCCACTTTACCTTGCAATCGACACTTCTGACCCTGAATTGCTAAATTGGCTGCATTCTTCAGCTGTGGTGGAAGGTAAGCCAACCGAGGATCAACTTCATTTTCATCTATCTCGGAGACTATCTTGTAATTTACCTCCAAGATTTCTTTCTCATTTTTCAACAAGACATCATCCCCAGGGTAGATCTCCTGTGAGCAGAACTTAATCGGATTTATTTCTTCTTCTTTGGCATCAGTCTGCTGATTCTCGTAAAAGTCAAGGATCTCTTTCTGAATATGTTTTAAATCTGTGATGATATCTTTGTTTCCAGGATCAAGCTTAAGGCCTGCCTTGTAGTAACCAAGGGCCTCTTCATATTTGGCATGCTTTGTGGCAATCTTTCCTGCCCATATATATGCAGATGTAGTTTTTAAACCTTTCACAAGTGCTTCCCTGATATCGGACTGCGCTGCCAAATAATTTCTTAAATAGTACTGACATTTGGCTCGCTGTAAATAATTGTTAGGATCAACAATTGGGTTTGTAAGTAACGAGTTGTATTTTTCTAGGGCTTCAGCATATTTTTTCTCTTTCATGTCTTGTTCTGCGTGTTCTTCCATTGTTGCTGGCTGTTGTTGTTCCTTGTGTTATTTAAATTAAAAATGTTATGAATTTCTTTTTGCTGTTGTTCAGATAGTTAAATGTTTAGCAGGTCTCCTTCAATGTAGGTTTTTTTTCTCTTAAATCTTTACTTTTGGTAAATCTTCTTTTTTTTTTTTTTCTCCCAGATGCCACACCTGTAGAAAAGAAAATAGAAAAAAAATAAAATGAATTAAGTGATAGACATTATACCTGAATTAGTAATCATTGTTTATGGGTGTGCAGCTGGTGTAATGGTTATGAATGAAAAAAGTGAAATCAACATGAATCTATCTTTTCCCAGTTATGGGTTAAACAGCAGAGCAGATTGATTTCCCTCATCTTCAGTGGTAAGTATTTTAGGAAAAGGAAATCTCTGAATTTAAACCATCTGTAAAAAGATTGATTCTATCAAGCTATCTTGCCATACTGATCGAAAGTAAAAAAAAAAAAAAAAAATTATGAAATATAAGAATGTCTTGGCTTTAAATGACCCATAAGGGGTTGGTAAACTGTAAAAAAAACCAACAACCATCTTGCCATAGGTACACCTAATATTGCCAAAGCTGCGGTACATGTAGTGCTCTTATGAGGCTTGTAATCATGATGTTCTTATATGAACAATTCCAAACTTAGTTTTCTGTATTGTTTTTATTATTATTTTGTGTTTTTTTTGTTTTTATTATCTTAATCAGATTATAAATTAAGAACAGTGATTTTTTTTTTTTTTTTTTTTTTTTTTTTTTTTTTTTTTTAATTTCTGATTTTAACCATGAGACAAACCTGATCTATTTTCAGTCAGAATTACTACATTATATTTACCATGATAATGTTTCAGACATTTTATATATCGAGTCTCAATCACAATATTCTTGAAAAGCCCATATTTCAATCGTATGTATCTAATCAACCCTTCAATCCAAATTTCAATCATATTTTTTCAAGGTTTTATGTAATGGGATAGCAACCTTAAACCCCATATATATATATATATATATATATATATATATATATATATATATATATATATATATAGAGAGAGAGAGAGAGAAACAGTATTCAAATTTTATTTTTAATCGTGATACTTCTGTATCTATTTTAACAATAAAATTATGATCCTTATCCTTAAAACAATTTTGTCCTAGTGTGGCAATAAGAAAAACCCGTTTAAATATCTTCAGGATTGATATGGCCACCAATTTGTTAAAACTCTCAATATTTCCATTTGATTGAGATGTCAATTATGGTCCCTTTCTTATAAAATTTTGTTGAATTCTTGTTCCCAAAACTATATAATTCCTGGGAACATTGCTTGACGCATCTCGAAGGTTAAGTGTTGTAACATTTATGATGTGGAGCGAGCTTTCCTTCAGGATGAAATCCTTTATTTTTCTGAGGCACTCAACTCAGCAAGAGCAACATTATCAGGCAGAATGGGGCAAAGTCTGGTGCATTCTATCACTTCTGGATAGGATTCATTTCTCCAAATATCTGTTTGATGGTGACGTCTTTTTGGAAACAGAACCAAAGCTCAAAATTTAGCTTATTTAAATTCCTTAATTATTAGGAAATTTGGTTCGTATGTCAACATAGGCAGACATATTATTAATTTGTCTAATTATTGTTTGCCCTAGTCTGATAAGTTAGTCCTGTCTTGAGGTTTGGAATTTTGTATCCCCCTACGAATATTGCAAAAATAGAAGTATTCCGTAATTTTGAAATGCTCTTTACTCAGTTATTCAAACATCTGCTAAATTCTGAAGAGCATTTGCTTCGTCTTAAAGCTCGGCTGAAAGACTTAGCATACAGCTTTGTTAATTCCTTTATTGAGTCTTTTGGGTTCCCTTGGCAGAGGAACCATTTTCAAGCAGCTAAACAATTAAAAAGAAAGACAGATATTTATATTACTAAGCCTGACAAAGGTGCAGGTGTCATAATATTAAATTATTCCAACTACGTCAGTAAAATGCTATCTATTTTAAATGATAGCAAATTTCTGAAAATTGGAGACATCACATGTGACAATATTTTAAAACAGGTTCGATTACAGAAGAGATTGTTGGAACTTCATATGGGTAAATTTCTATCTAAAAAAATTTATAATAATATTTGTCCCATAGGTTCCCAACATCCTCAGATGTATGGGTTACCAAAAATACATAAAGAGGATGTTCCACTGAGGCTAATTTTGTCCATGTTGGGCTCAGCCCAGCATAATTTGGCCAAGTAGCTTAATGAAGTTCTAGATCCTATCTTATTATTTTATTCAGAATATTGTGCGCCTGATTTGTTTCAGTTTGCTGATTATATACACAAATTGAAACCAATTCTGATACTGAAATTTCCGTATTGTTTGATATAACTTATCTGTTCATGAATGTTCCACTGGATGAAACAATAGAAATTTGTGCAAACTTTTTGTATCGCGGCCTTGTAACAACTCCAGCTTTTCCTGAGAGTGTATTTGTTGAGTTGATGGGGATGTCTACAAAGCCTGTCTCATTTAACTTTGGCAACTGCATGTATCAACAAATACATGGAGTAGTGATGGGCAGTCCATTGGGTTCCTTGTTGGCCAACATTTTTGTTGGCTTTCATGAGAAGCAACTCTTTGATAAGATTAATAAGCCATATTGCTACTTCCACTATGTGGATAACACCTTTGTCTTTTTCCTCCTTGAGTAAAGCGGAATTGTTTTTCTATCTTAACAATCTCCATCCTTCTTTAAAATATTCAATGGGGATAGAAGAGAATAATCATCTCCCTTTCTTGGATGTATTGGTAGAAAGAACATCTTTGGGCTTTCTTACCAGTGTTTACCGTAAACCCACTTTTTCTGGGCTTGGGAGTCATTTGCACCCAGATCCAGGAAAATTAATCTTATTAGTACCCTTAATCATCATGCTTTGATGTTGGGTTCTGAGTGTAGACTCAACACCGATCTAAAGAAAATTAAATAGCTCTTATTAATGAATGGTTATCCCAAATGTGTTGTGATATCTACCATTGAACAAAAGATAGTTAAGTTCAATGAGGTTAAGAAATAGGGTCCTTCTAAGTTTCCTGTTCATGTGAGGCTCTCATGGATTGGTCCTGGGAGTCAAACATATGCTGACAAAATTTCTAATTCTATTAAACAGTGTTTCAATGTCATTATGGTTCAAAGTATTTTTATGACTAGGAAGGTTTTCTTCCCTTGCCATAAGGATGTCTTGACTACCAATCAACAAAGTTTGCTAATATATCAATATAAATGTTGATGTGAGATCGACTATGCGGTCAAGACCATTCAGAGGTTGGAGGTTAGGATCACCCAACATAGACACAAGCCTGTGACATCCAGGCATTTGCAGAGGGAAAAGAAAAAATATTTTTACTAATTTTCTTCCCAGTTAGGCAATTGCTTCCCCAAATAGGGCCAACTTGTATTTCACCTCCCATTGTCTACACAGGGCAGGACGTTGCATGTTAATAATAATAGACTCCAAGATATCTAAATATATATAATAAAAAATAAGATATCTAAATATATATAATGAAAAATAAAACTTGTCTTAGGTCGTTTTATACAAGTTTACGTTTGCCATTAAAAAATATTAGAAACATCAAAACACTGAAATAACAATAAGCTCATAAAATCATATTTAAATAAATTTAAAAAAAATATGTATACTATATATATTTGGTTGGACTGATATGAGTTTGTGACCCTGGGTTTCACGCTTTTGTGATTGTCAGACAAACTCACATCAATCCAACCAAATATGTTAGGTCTATCTCTGATATTGAGCGCTTTCTAATAAGTACCGCACATATGATATATAAATTATTATTATATATATATATATATATATATATATATATATATATATATATATATACACGCACTTTTCACATGTATACTATACTATATATATATATATATATATATATATATATAATCATCATCAAAAACTAAAAAAAAATTAGCATAATAAAGTATGTTCAGCAGATGTTCTTATTTCAAATTCCTGTCGACAGGTGGCACTTTTGCATTGTTTTCCACTCCAACACCAGTCTTCAGTCTTGTTTACATTATGATTTAGAATACATTTTTGCCCATGGCTCTGAAAAAAAGTGCTAATGCTAAGCATAAAGATATATTGCTAGAAGATAAGGTGTAGATTATTTATTTTATTCACTGTACCTACATACATATAAATATTGTAATAGGCAATGGGGTGTGCTTATTTATGCTTTATA